TGGAGAACTGGTTGTTAATTGTCTAAGCAATTTGGAGAACAGTTGTTGAAAGAAATCTCCTTTTGTTTTCCCCCCACTTTACAGGGCTAATCCTGTAAGGAAAGCAGGAAGGAAACATTCTGGTGTTGTTTCTAGCTAATCTTTGTTGCCCTGGTTACAGAAACTGTCTCTTCAGTTAACCCTTATTACATTGTAACAGCTAAGGCGAAGTGCCCATTGACCTGAGTGACATTGAGTTGGCCACACCCACCCAGTCACAAGACCACCAAGCCACGCCTACCCAGCTGGTCATTAGGACAGAGAACCGGTTGTTGGAAGAAATCTCCTTTTGTATTTTCCCCACTTTAAATGGCTAATCCTGTAAGGAAAGCAGGAAGGAAACATTCTGGTGTTGTTTCTAGCCTAATCTTTATTGCCCTGATTACAGAAACTGCCTTTCCAGTTAACCCTTATTGCATTGTAACAGCTAAGGCGAAGGGCCCATCGACCTGAGTGACATTGAGTTGGCCACACCCACCCAGTCACAAGACCACCAAGCCACGCCTACCCAGCTGGTCATTAGGGCAGAGAACCGGTTGTTAAATTATTTGAATCCCACCACTGCCTGCGTGTGACACATCAGGCCTGCGGTCCACCAGTTTGACAACCCTGATCTAATAAATAAATTGGCAGAGCATTCTTTTTGCCGTTTGAATTCCCAGATCAGTTTCAGAAATAAGGCTCCTTTAAGCAGCTTTGAAAGAACTTAACATTTTCTTCTGAAATATGATGTTTCCCGGCACTAGAGAAAATTCTTTCCCTTATTTTTGCTGCATACTAAGCTTCAGAATTAATAATCTATTTGTCCACTATTATTCTATGGGTTAAGTCACTTTGTCATTTTAAAATGAGATTTCAGACAAATAAAGAAATCTTTATACTTCGAGCCTTAAATCAATATACAATTGGACTGGCAGGATATCTAATTTCACTTCTCTTGAAAGTATATCCACATAGTGAAGCATTAATCAATGGGACAGGCACTTGTAGATTTGTCCCTTATACATATCTTCAGAAAGAATCAAGGGCTGCTTTCGTCATGCTATTCTTGGCCAAGCCATTGGGGGATAATGGGAGCTGTAGTACAGAACACCTTGGAGGGTCTCATTAGGGAAGGCTGTTGAAAATGCAATGGTATAAACTTTACATAATTTAATTGTATAGGATCATATATGATTTTTAAAAGTCCCATATCTGATATGTTTTATAAATATTGACACCCTATTAATTACAAAACAGAAACAAGTTCTGTAATGTTCTTTTTACATTCCAGAGTTGTGTTTTACAAATATTAGAACAGGTTCTGCTGGGCATAAATACTAAATAAACATTTTGGATAATATTTGTTAATTCCTCTGATTGAAGAATGAGCACATAATTACCTTCAGTTTTTTTTTCCTTTTCTTTTCTTTCTAATAGATGCAAAAGATATTTGAAAAACTTGCAGGTTTCAAAGAAATCCGCGTCCTGGGATTTAGGTAAGTGTTACTGCTTTTTGCTTTTAAAGTAACGAGGCAGATGTTATTATTTATTTACTGTACGGTATCCTGTCTGTTCTGTGAGATCTCAAAGTGATGCACGTGAGGATTTCTCCTCATTTTGTTTCTATAGCAATCCTAGGAAGTACTGTGGGCTGAAAAATAGTGAATGGTTCAAAATCCTCAAATAACTCCGTCATTAAATGAACCTCATTAAGTAGATCCCCTTGCCTACTTCATTACACTTTCTCACTTTCTTTTGTTAGAAGAAGTCATAAGGGGTTGTCTGAACTGCCTTCCCTTTTAAACCTTTAAGAAATCTCTGGTGATATTATTATTGGTAGTAATTTAATTGAAAATATTTCTAAATGATTTGCAGATTTTCAGTCTTTTAGATTGAAGAAATTGATAAGGTTCTGGGATCACAAGCTGTTTCAAAAGATGATGCACCTACAATTTAACTTAAAAGCCTGCATGTTTTTCTTCACCATTGTAGGATTGGTTATATGTTATTATTAATAAAACTTTCTTCATTGCCTTCCATTAATACTTGTAGGATATGATACAGCAAGTAGTTTGAGGTCACTAATTTCAAAACTGAAGTTTGCAAGGCTTCAATCCTCAAATTTTTATGAATATAATTCTTAATTTCCAAGGAATAAATAGCTATGATTGACTGGGGAGGGGAGGAAAAGACAGGCTAGAAATAATTTAGAAAAGAGATTGGTAGCAATATCTTTTAAGTAATCTATAATTTAAATGAAAAATGTGTGATTCCAGTGCAGAGGAAGTGTGAAGTGAAGTGAACAGCAGAGGAGAATGATCTGGAAAAATAACATGTCGCCACAACAAGTTTCACTAAACTGACCATTTCTCAACATCAGGCAGATGCTATCGTCTAACATTCATTGGCAGTCACTGATGTTCGTATATGTCAGATGGATCTATCAAGGTTGACATCTTAATTGGCCCTTGACATTATAGGAAAATGGGGTTTCAGCTAAGATGGAGTGTTAAACACAAGACGTGTGAGCCACATCTGGCCCATGGGGTTCTTAGATCTGGTCCGCAGAGCCATCCTGGAAATAACGATTGACCAGCCCGCAGTATCTCTGCCAGTGAAAATGGAGCTCGGGAGGACCATGCGGGGCCCACCTGAGCTCCATTTTTGCTGGCAGAGAGTTGCACAACGCCATCACAGCCAAAAATGGAGCTCGCGGGGGTCATGGGGGCCCTTCCTGAGCTCCATTTTTGCTTGCAGAGGGTTGCAGGAGCTCATCACAGCCGAAAATGGAGCTTGGGAGCCCACTTTCACTGGCAGAACATGCAAGCCACCACAGACACCCTGACCCAAGTGATGTTGAGCTGGCCATGCACACCCTGACCACACACTTCCTGGCCCCAAAGGTCAAACACAACCCTGATGTAGCCCTCAATGAAATTGAGTTTGACAGCCCTGAGCTAGGATCTTCTTAGAGTAAATAATTTTTGCAGCAACCACACAACTATAAACATCATTTTGAGAGTGACACGCATGCCCATCACAAATTTTCCTTCTCAGAGTAACCAATATTATGCATGGCAAAGAAAAGGGGTAAGAAATAGTAAGTGGTAACAAAGCAATAATAACAATAATAATGAAGATGAAAAATGAAATGTAATTAAATTTATTACACTAAATTCATGTATTATCTCTCTCCATACCTTATATTCTTGCCAAACATTTTTGCTTCCTCTATGTCCACACACACAATTTATATTGCCCTTTGCTTCTTAAACTTCCCACTTCTTTTCATTAAGTTCCTCCAACAACTTTCTCCATCTCCCACTCTTTCTCAGTCCAGTCACTCTTCCATCATAGACGTGTTTTGCTATTTGGATGCCAAATATCCAATTTGTTTCTTGCTCTTTGTTTCTGTACAATTAAGCCACTTCAGTACACCTCTTTCCGTCCTTCTCATTCCCTTTTGACCAATTCCTTCATCATTCATTCATTCATTCATTCATTCATTCATTCATTCATTCATTCATCCATCCATCCATCCACTCATTCTTTACCTGGTCTCTTTTTGGTTCACCACGCACATTTGTTAAGTATCCCATTCCCACATAGGTTTATTTTATGTTTCTTCTAGCATGTAGTGGGTTTCAAAAATTGTTCGAATTGTTCTGTGGGTGTGGCCTCCTTTGTGGGAGTGGCTTGCCACCCATGTGACCGGATGGGAGTGGCTTGCCACCCATGTGACCGAATATGAAGATGCCGACGACA